GTGGCTGGCACCAGTGTAGGCGTGTCTTTCAATTGGGGCCTAGAGGGTCAGCAGGTAATAACTTTCGATTGGGTATGGAACCAATGCAAGATTGATCGCACTTAAATCGCACTATGTTTCTGACTCAAATATCACATGTTTTCCTTAGTTTTTATTATCATTTTCTCGTATTATGTTCCTTTTTCCTTTGTTTTCAGGATTCTTGTCATTTCAGAGCCTTCTGTGAAGAAACGAGCCAAAACGCCAAGAAATTAGGGTTTTTCAAGATATTTTGCACTTATGGCGTTCAGCGCCGCGCTGGCTACAGGGAACGCGATGACGTGGCCCACTTTCACCCAGAGACCAACTGCCACGTTCCCATGATGTGGCAGTTCCAGCCACCGCGCCCGCGGCCACCCCCACCGCGCCCGCGGCCTTCACAAAAAGCTTCCCGCTCAAAAGAAGTTAAGGGGCATGCTGGTCTTTACGCACCTCAAGGATCCTCTATAAATAGTTTTCGATTTTCATTCTTTAGTTTCATCCAAGCTTAGTACAATCTTAAGCCATATACTATCAGTTTCTGTAAAGTGATAATCTCTTCACATCGGGGAGTTATTGCGGTGTAGATTGAGTTGTAATCGAGTCTTGGAGCACTTTGGTTGAAGTTCATCATACCAGCCTTACCATTCCGTAGATTTGTATCAGATTCAAGTCTCCGACTGGAGCAAGGTTCTATTTTATTGCATTTCTTTACTTATAATTGCTCTTACCATAGTCTACACGTTTTATAGACTTTAAATGCTCTTACCATAGTCTACACGTTTTATAGACTTTAAATGCTCTTACCATAGTCTACACGTTTTATAGACTTTAAATGCTCTTACCATAGTCTACACGTTTTATAGACTTTAAACGCTCTTATCATAGTCTACACGTTTTATAGACTCGCACTTATTATGTCTGGCTAAACTATAAAGGTTTGGATGTAATGATTGTCATCATGGTCGTGTTCCAATTATCATGCTAGTGAAAATACTCTGGGGATGTTTTGCTTCTAACTTAAGTCAATTATGTTTAAATGTTTATTGGGTAAGATCGAAAGCCGTCCAAACTAATGATACGACTTGATTATTATTTAACCAAACAAAAAGAGCGAAAGCCGTTGATTGGTTAAATAGGAATCATTGACCTTTTTAGAAAACGATTTTGAAACTATTTTCGGACGCGTTTGTAGGTTTGAAATCTGACTCTTGGTCAAAAGCCAAAAGTCTCTTTAAGTTAATCTTTCCAAGTAAAATCACTTTTCTGTTAAGTCAAAACTATCAATTTCTTAAAAATAGGTTTACCTCTTTAACGCGGAAGGCACCCTTTATATGTGACAATAAAGGAATTTAATTTAAAGAGTAAACTCGGTTCTTAGTAGTCAAAAGCTACAAGTTCCCGTTAAATTGATTCTTTGCTATCAATAGAAAATACTGCCCCATAAGTGGTTTTATCTACGCATGACCGGACCAATATCTGATTACATGATTTACATTCCAACCTGTCTTTTAAACTGTTATTTACCTCGCTCATTTACTTTGTGCACTGCACTCACATCAATATTCTTGTTCGCCTTAGATAAGCACCTTAGCAATAGAGTTGATAGATTGACAATTGGTCTCTGTGGTTCGATAATCTTATATATTACTTCGATAGGCTGTACACTTGCAGTACTACATTTAGGCTATACGTTACAGATTAAACCCATCAAAGATGCAATCTGCCTTTCTACCTCCTTAGACTCAAAGCTAGTGTGGAGCTTTTCGAACTTGAACTACTGCCTGGACGGTTCTGGAATTCGAAGAGTTGTCACAGGGGGTTTGCTTTTGGTTCGAAGAGTTGTCACAGAAGATTGTGCTTGAGTTTGAATAAACTTTGATGTGTGGGGTGTTCTGGGTAGTTGATTTATGAGAGTTGGAAAGATGAGATAATGGATTTTGATTTTGTGTTTGTAGGTGAAAGTAGAGTTGATTTTTGAGTGAGAAAAAATTACAAAGGTTTCTGTTTCGTTTCCCAGCTCCCTTTTCTCTCCTCTCAGCGTCTCCATCCCCCATTGGTGTTGTGAAGAATAGTTTATTTATGTAGGAGCTTTGCTGTGGATTTGGGGGGGAAAACAAATAACATTTGGACTTTTTGGATATATTGTTCCCCTGTTTTCTTCGATGCAGCTCTTATGTACCGTTTTTTGTGTAAGTATGGGACTGAGACAAGGCAGGCTCAACAATATTTGGAGTGTTATGGTAGGTTGGTGCAGGACTGTTGCATAATAGCACATTTGGCTTGGGTTTGGCAGTATATAAGACTTTGGTCAACAAACACCTCGAATACTCCACCCTTTCGTTTTGATCACTTCGACCAGACTCATCATCATACAACAACGTTCGTTTCCAACAATGTGTGTTCTTCGAATGGACCCATTATAGGTCCTTCGAATCCACCAACTATGATCCATAGTGTTGAAGAGTTTTAGAGGTGTAATCTAAGTACGTTGCTTCGAAGGGTTTAATTGCCCAACTTATAAATTGAAAGAGGCTGCCCAGCTTGTAAATCGAAGGAAGCTGCCCAACTTGTAAATTGAAAGAGATTTCCCAACTTGTAAATCGAAGGAAGCTGCCCAGCTTGTAAGTCAAAAGAGGCTGCCCAGCTTGTAAATCGAAGGAAGCTTCCCAGCCTGTAAATCGAAAGAGGCTGCCCAACTTGTAAATCGAAGGAGGCTGCCCAGCTTGTGGATCGAAGGGGGTTACTTCGAAGAAAAACATATGGCCAGTTTGAAACTTGTTAAATCGAAGCCAACTTGTTTTTTTACCTAATCGAAAGGCACATTAACATCTTCAAAATTTTACATTTTCTTTATTTCTTTAAACATGTTTTTGTAATCACACATGCGAGAGAAATCTTGAGAAAATGAGAGAACAAATTTTGGGGTACAACAAAAGGTTCATTGCTTAGGAGGAGAATTTGTCTGATTAATTCTTTGGTCAACCTTGAGCAATTGAGGACCTCAATGAGCATGTCTTGAGTAAAATGAGAGGGTAAATTTTGGGATACAACATAAACCAAAAACGCTGCCCCCAATTCCACTCGTGAATGAACTCCAATTCGATGAAATATTTAAGGTAAGTCACATCCACGTAGTTTGTAATTTTGTCCACAAACATGAACGTGCCAACCAAGAATAGAGGAAGTTCAAAAGTATATTTCTCCGTCCCAGACATTCAGAGCCACATGCTCTCCAAAGTATATCAGTAAAAAGAGGTGTATGTGGACCTTCTTGAAAACAGGTATGCTATGAGGGTATCCTCAGTAACTGGGATCTAGGGTCCAAGTGGGACATCCTCATCATAGTGCGCATGACTCTGAGATCCCAACTCCTTTGATAGTTGACTCCTAGAGGTCGACGTCTCTCTATCGTGAGGCAAAGGTGGGACGGCTCTAGCCTGTTCGTGTTGACGATCCCTCTCGCGACAAGCAGATGCAGTTAGGATGGATCACCCGAGTCTCAATCTTTCTTGATTTTCAGCCATAGCCCTGAAAAAATATAACAAATTATGATGAAGGAAATAGTTCAGATATGCATCTCCAAAAACCTGAAACAACAAAGTTCAGAGATGTAAATCTGAAGAAAAAAAGCTTCGTTTTGCTTCAATGGCTAAATTTTTTTCTTCTATAACTGCCCTAACATCCAAACTCATCCAAATCATATAAACAAAGTCTCCAAACTTGAACACTAATCTATTTGAGCAATCTAATATATTAAAAGTAACCTATTTGAACTAATACATTAATTAAAAATCAAAATAAACTATATGAGAAACTTACTCAAAAACATATTGACGAAGGTGTAAAGTACTCTGATGTTGAATGTAGTTGTTAGAGGGATTTGAAAATAGTAAGAAACAAGGAAATGTTGCTTCAAATCTTGATCATGAGTGGGAAATTAGAATGGGAAGAGTGAGGTAGAAAGAAAGTTGTGTATTCTGAAAAATGAACAAAGAGAACGAGAGTTTGGCACGAGCTTTAAATAAGCTCATCTATTTCGGAGATGTATCTCTGAAATATTTTTTTGAATTAAAAAAAAGGTGTATTCGAAGATGTATCTCTGAACACACCCTTAAAATGACTTCGGTCGTGCATTTCTGAATTTTAATTTCAAAAATATGAAATTTGATACGTCCAAATAAATATCTCCAAAAACAAAAAAAAAAACATTTTAAGATTTCGTATCAAACCTATGAAAATATATAAAAGTGCAACGAAAAGACAAGTAAAGATGAACATCAGTAAATGTTATTGCCAAATTGTATAACAATAAAATTAATGTTACAATTTACTATTTAAATGTAATATTTACCACATTCAAATACAAAGAATTGCCATACTCCATCAAATGAATGTCAAAGACATGAGATGCAAAGTGATTTTACATGCCTGCTAATCACAAATAGTTAGTAGAATAGTAGTTTAGAAGATCACTTCAAAGGATCTAACTAAATCATGTTCCACTAGGACTAATGTTGTTGGTATCTACAATCTATTATAATTATAATATAAGATTGTATTCTATATGAAATAAATATATCCGTACCCTATCCCTGGTTTAAATTTCTCAATATTATTTTCTACTGCACACACAATAAATGCACAAAGCCAGCTTGAGACTAGCTTACACAAGTTACAGTCTTTACACAACGCCGTATGAATCAATAAATAATGCCTCACTCTCCTCAAAATAGCTTCACACTCAGACAAATATCATACAAACTTCATTTCTCAACATTTATTTCCTTCCCTTTTTTATGTCATCCTCACTTTGAGACCTTCCAAGTGTCCTCCAGAGTCTTTTCAAGTATGCTACAAAACAAAACAATAATAATGTGATTGTTCCAAAGGTTTAAAGTTTTAGATAAAACCATTTTCCTTTTTGTAACATATTTATTGCTTTGTTTGTTGCTGCATTTTGGTGTTTGGACACAAGAAAAATGGGAAGGACACCTTGTTGTGACAAGATGGGCTTGAAGAAAGGTCCTTGGACTAGTGAAGAAGATGAAGTTCTTGTCAGTTATATCAAGAAAAATGGTGGCCATGGAAGCTGGCGTTCTCTCCCTAAGTTAGCAGGTTTTGTATAGCTTCCTTTTTTTTTGAAGAAAATGGCTTATGACATGCATGTCTATAAGCTGTTTTCAACTTATTTTAAAAGCACAGTAAGAGTAAGATAGCTTAAATAAACAACTTATAACTTATATGACAAACCCTTATGGTAAGATGTTTCTGAATCTAACTTTTCATTCACATAAAGCATGAATATCTTTGTTAAATATGGTTCTTTCTCTTCTGATTTTGTGTATTTGAAGTGATTTTTCTATGGAATAGGTTAAGTGTTTGTTAAACAGATGAGTTTGATTGATTTTTTTATGACCCTTTTTTGGTTTCTACTTTTTACCTAACAAGTTACTAATACTGAGAAGAGGAAGTTCCAATCTAGGCTATGTTTGTTTGTATTCAACATTCATGATGTTTTGCTGCTTTTGTAACACATGCTACTTTTCATGGTTCTAAAGCTATTTTCTTATACATTATAACTTTTAATTAGTTAAGAGTTATAATGTATTTGACCATGATTTTCTACAATATCAAAGATTGCGACTACAACTGTGATATAGAATTTATTGGCCGTATAACTTGTCTTTTCGCTCGATGCATTTTGTCTTTGTTTAATCGACGATTGTAAGTTTTTTTTTTTCCCTTCCTTTAGGCCTTCTTCGTTGTGGTAAGAGTTGCAGACTAAGATGGACGAACTACCTGAGACCCGATATTAAACGCGGTCCCTTTAAACCCGACGAAGAAAAACTAGTCATACAGCTTCATGCCATCCTTGGAAATAGGTACCTTGTTGAGTTCTCTTTTTAGACTTTACTTCAGTATATAAGTGTTTACCGGTGTATTACTGGTGTTTATATGTCAGTGTTACTATCGTGTCTGGTGTCTGTACTTATAGATTCATGGTTCTTAGCATCCAACTAATATTTTCAAATTTCACTATTATTTTCTGTCTAGTACCTCGTATTGAAAAGCATGTCAGTGTCTATCGCGTGTTAGTGTCATAGAAGACACCAGCACGGTACTAATGTCTATGTGTGAGTGTCGTGTTTGATGTCCATGCTTCAGTGTTTCATATCCTCTGACTAGTGTTTTCAAATTTCATTGCATTAATATCTTATGGTAATAAGTTTCATGTCGATTTTCTAATTTCTAAGGGTATACTTTAAGAATTTTCAATAAAATGAAACAATTTCACAGGTGGGCTGCAATAGCTTCTCAGTTACCAGGAAGAACAGACAACGAGATCAAGAATTTATGGAACACGCACTTAAAGAAACGTCTGATAAGCAAGGGAATTGATCCACAAACTCATGAACCAATATCCTCATCACACTACTACCCAATTTCCAAATCAAATTCGTCTATCGCCACACGCCACATGGCTCAATGGGAAAGTGCAAGACTTGAAGCAGAAGCAAGGCTCTCAAAAGACTCACCTCTATTCAATAACAACAACACTCCTTTAGCAAGCAACAAATCTGATTCAGACTATTTCCTTAAGATATGGAACTCTGATGTTGGAGAATCTTTTCGCGTGGTTCGTAAATCAGACGAAGACGACGACGATAAAACTAGGTGCATAAGTTCAATGTCTCAAGAAGGGTCATCTTGTAATAACAACAAATGTGGATCTGTTTCTGCAACTCCTGCAAGCAATGTGAAGGAAGATTTTGAATGGAGAAACTACAAATTATTTAATCATGTAGGTTGTGATGATTCATCAAGCTCTAATGATCTTGAAGACTCTTCTGATACTGCATTGCAGCTTTTGTTGGATTTTCCTTCTAACAATGACATGAGCTTCTTGGAATGAAGCTTTTCTTTACCACCCTTTTGTATGATGCTTTGGCTAATTTTGTAGACACCAACTAGTTTTTGTTATGTAAGCCAGCCATTGACTATGTAGTAATTTGGTTGGATGAATATGATGATGGCTATATTTTTGTATAACACTAATGACATTGTGGAATTTTAGGTTGTTAGGCTTATGTCTCACAATTATGTACCATGTCTACTATACACTATATTTGATGGGACACAAGAATTTATTGGATGCACATGGGTATGTATTGAATAATGGAGAACCATTGAACCAAATAGAATTTCTAAAATCAAATATGAGAGGAGCCATTTCATCATCACAAATGTCTAGTAATCACACATGTGATTTGGACATTACATTTTACTGAAAATCTTGACATTAGTTATTTACTAGAAATTTCTTTTTCATTCAACACAAAACTTTGACTAGTTATTTTTCTTCTCCTTAAATCTTTAAGAAATGATTTGTTTTGATACAAATTTTGTCATTTGAATTTTAAAATTGGGAATAGGTTTTTGTAACTCTTAGATTCTAGAATTCTAACGTGTTAAAATTGGGAATAGGTTTTTGTAACTCTTGGATTCTAGAATTCTAACATGTTATCAAATGAAATTCAACATGTTACATGCCAAACACCAACAATATATTATGAATATTTAAAAACATCAATTAAGCACAAATAAGTTTATAGGTCAGACAAACTATATATTTTTCATCAGGGTTAACTATGAATGCTGCAATTTCATTAGATATCCTAGGATGAATCAAACTTGAATAAATAACAAACATATATAAATAAGGTAACATTTAACTTGATCAGTCACTAGGTACTATACTAATTGTTGTACCCCAAAATTTGCCCTCTCATATTTCTCAAAACATTTCAAGAAAAATTCACAAGTCCAACCCGGCGCGTCATATTCAGGTGTTATTTCGCCAAGATATCTCTGATAACGTATTCTCAAATTCAGGTTCGGCTCAAGAGTCAATTCTTTAAAGAAGGTATCCGAATGTGTGAGTTTTCTTGAAGAAATATGGTGAAAAAGTGTGCTGAAAGTACAGTTTTTACGCGCTAAAAAATTCATAACTTGAAGATCGTGACTCGTTTTGAACCCGTTCCGGTGGCCAAAATTCCGTCTTGACATTATCTACGTTTTCATCTCTCACGGCTGGAAGCCAATTTCGATCATAAGGTCTTCAAAAATGTGGATTTATCAAGTATTTTCGTACAGAAAATTTGTGACAGAAGTTTATTTGCGTCATGTTCAGAAAATCATAACTTGGTCGATTTTCATCGTATCGAGCTGGTTCTGGCGCCAAAATTTCACAAATTAAGTTGGCTACATTTTCACAGAAGGTATTGAGTTCAAACGGTATTCAAAAGGCCTTCGTTTTTTGCTCAGAGTGCGTGACACGCCGAAAATCCTGAATGCTGAATATTATTTCATCTGGGCCGAAACTTCGAAAATTCATAACTCGGTCAATTTTTATCGGATTGGGCTCATATTTTTACACAAGGTCACTGACTCATAGATCTACAACTTTGCTTCAAAAGTCGAGACCGGATTATGCTCCGATCAATACCATTTTTTTATTGAAGAACGTGTCAGAGTCGACACTGGAGCCCAAAATAAGTTTGTCTGAGCTGAAACTTAAAAAATTCATAACTAATTCACCGTTTATCTGATTGAGCCGATTTTCGGAAAGGAGTTAGTTATTGATGTCGGCTACATTTTGTTTTCACATTTCAACTTCAAAAATTGCACTTAAGTCCCTGCGATTTAGCCTGGAAAGTGACGAACTCAAGTGAACATTGGAGGCCCAATTGCACATTCAAAGCCCATTTTCTTTACCTTAATTTCCATTATATAATCACATTCTTTTCACATAAACAAAGAGAGAGAAAAAACCTTGCCACAATACTGTCAGAGTATCAAATTCTTTCAAGAACCCTAAAACCTTGAAATCCTTATTACAAATCCCTCTCTCACTACAAACAAGCCATCCCAGTTACAAACCAAATCTCACTACAAACAAGTCATCTCAGTTACAAACCAACATCTCACTACTTCTTCAGTAAGGGTAAGGCTGACTTGATCTCCATGATCAAAAGGGCATAAAAACATTCATGTCACTACTTTTCCAGTAAGGGTAAGATTGAATTGATCTCCATGATCAAAAGGATATAATCATTCATACATGTCATATTGGCCTAAACATTAAATTTCTTCATATATTGGCTTTATTTGTATTTTATGATATATAGTAATTTATTTAATGTGTTCATGAGATTCAACACTGCAGATTTAGACAGGATCCCATGCAGGTTCATTAAGGAACATTGAGGCCAAAACACAAATGAACAAAAGCCAAAAGCCAAATGGCCAAAACAGAACAGTTTACACATGACACCAATACATGGCGAGACAGACATCCTGAGAAGGTTAAGGAACGTTGAGGCCAGAACACAAATGGCCAAAAGCCAGAACACAGATGGCCAAAAGCCAAAACACAAATGGCCAAAAGGCAAAATATAAATGGCCAAAACAAAACATAAATGACCAAAACAAAACAGTTTACACATGACGCCAATAGCTGTTTCACCCCTCCAATCAGACTCGTATACTCCTAAACTTTCTCTCTATTTGTATTATGTTCCTTTAATTAATTAATCGTTATTCTTTTTATTAATCACTAACCAATTAACATTTTTCCTAATAAAATCAAAAACACAAAAAAATATTTTATTTATTAAAATTAACTTCATCACTTTTATTTTTGTAAATAAATTAATTTAATCAATTTAGCTTTAATTAGATTTAACTTTTGATATTTTTTGCAATATTTAAAATCAATTTAGAATATTAAGTTTTTATTAGCATTAATTCAATTTATTTTATTTCTTTAAAAACTCAAAAATCCAAAAATATGTTCATTATTTAATTTAATTTAATTGTTCATTTAATTTAATTCCATTTAATTCAAAAATAACCAAAAAAATCACTTTCTTTCAAAAAAGGGTCAAAACCCAAAAAAACTCGCATCCAATTTAATTTCCCGCACGCGATCCATTTTTCCATATTATTGTACTTGCTTCCGGAATGTAATAACTTTAATTAGGACTTTATTTATTTATTGCTTTATTTTACTTTCCGCAATTTAAATTAAAGGGTTTGTTTTTGGCGATGTAAATACCCGACGCCTTGTAATAGTTTAGATTTAATTTCCGCAATTTAAATTACGCAACTATTAACTGTTAGATGTATGCTAATTAGGCTATGCATGACAAGACTTATCTCTGAAATTAAAATCAACCCGTAGCTCACCATAACATGTGCAAAGATAATATAAATGAATCCTGACACACTCGCACATGCCACTCCTAGGGTACGCCTCACTTGGTTGCCTCGAGGTGGTCATCAAGTATAGGGTGTTTTAGAGGTCGCCCTCCTGTCTAAAGATCCAGTTGCCTCGAAACGGTTGCCTTGGATAAAAAAGGATCTAGGACATTAGGGTTACCGCTAAGGTGTCCTACTATTGCTTTGGTGACCACATGTCCCTATAATCGAATTGACCCGACAAACTCCAACGACGGTGCTACCTACTTCTCAATAGTGGGATAGTACTGTCTAAAGGACTCTTACACAGCTTAATTCCTTAGAGTAGGTAGATTTCTCCTGGGTACTTGCTCTTTCAAAAACAAAAAAACAACTTTTCGCACCTACACTTTCAAAAAGTTTTCAAACAAATACTTCATACACTCTTGAGGACTGATACAAGAGTTACCTAGAAGTTTTCAAAACGGAACTTTTTCAAAACCCACATACACAAGAAAAGCAAACAATTTTTGAAAACATAGTGAGCAAGTACCTAAGAGCCCGTGGATAACCACGGATAGAAAGGGTGCTAACACCTTCCCTTTCTATAATCTACCTCCCGAACCGAGAAACATCTCGAAAAGGAATTTTGTTGTGCTTTTGTCCTTTCCTTGTTGGAGAACATAAAAGACAGTGGCGACTCTTGCTTACCGCGATATTTCGCGAACCAGCATTCCAAAATAGTCAATTCTATTTCCACCGATCACACTAATCAAATATTGATAATATGGTTCTCACATCATTGTCGTTTTGAAGTTAAATGTTGGTGAAGCAAACACATCCATCATTAAAGATTGATAGGCAATGATACTCAACGCTTATCACGCTTCTTGTATTGTGGGGCTTGAGACGATGATTCAGTTGATCAAATTGGTCATTCAGATCAGACAATATAACATCATCGTTGATCCTAAAAAATGGAAGAGAAGTTCTTTTGTGGTAGTAAAAAGCTGCTAATTCCTTCAATAGAAATCAATAGCTTGACAACTTTCACAATATAGAATCTGAACCATACAAAAATTCCCTCAACATGGGTCTAGATTATAGAATCTATAGTGAAATGAGATCTCTAATTACAGGTTCAAATTATAGAATCTAAAGTTTAATGACACATCTCATTATGGAAGGAATATAAAAGTTGACATATATAATCCTGTGAGATATTGAATCGAACTCTATTGGGTCGAAGGATAATTTCTTGATTTCGACAGTTCGACAAAGTTGTAGCATGCAGTCAAAGGTTGCTTACATGCTGGTGTCAAAGTATTATGTTGTAGTCGAAGAAGGATCAAGCATGCAGTGGTTGAAGAATGCTAGGATTGTTAGCATCGAATTGAGCTTGTTTGTTATGTCCAATTGTTTAAGTTAACTTGTAATGGATATTTGTGAAAAAACTCATTAGTTTAGTATGTTAGATTTATTATAAATAGCATACTAGTCTCTCATCATTGCATACTGCAAAATCTAATTTAGGATGAGAGAGTTATTTGTTATTCTTGGGTACTTGTAATCTGATTTAATGAGAAAGTAAAGAATAGCAGTTAATAACCAATTTCTTGTGTTCTTCTTGTTTTTCCATCTTTTCTACCATTATTTGTTTCTTGATCATAAAGA